GAGAGAGAGAGAGAGAGAGAGAGAGAGAGAGAGAGAGAGAGAGAGAGAGAGAGAGAGAGAGAGAGAGAGAGAGGGAGAGAGAGAGAGAGAGAGGTAACGCCATGCACTAGCTTGTACTTACGGATCAGTCACTAAGAAGAGGACCTTGGTGGGCCTCCTGAACGTTGGTGCAAAAGTTCATCTATCTATCTATCGATCTATGTATATCCATGGAGGATAAGTCATTGAGGGATGTGTGAATATTCCTAATCTGGTTTGAGGTTTAGTGGCTATGGACTAAGCAAGATACTGGAGTGTTTTAACTGGACAGCCAGTATATTCTTTCCTATTATGGAAAGTAATCAATGTTAGCACCTGAATGTGTAAGCAATGGAAGCTGTGCTTCGTTTATGTTGGGTTCCCAGCCAGGATTGTCAGCAGTGGGAGGTGGTCCCCGCCAGTAGACCTGGACCCTCACCCTGTCGGGTAGACCTGAAATGCAGGGGGTCTTCCCATTGGGAGTCAGACTTCGGTCCTCCTTCTGCGCTTATAATGAAAAGATTATATTCAGAAGGTTATACCTCCTCCCACAATAATGCTCTACTGTCATTTGGGGCTCCCTATCTTCTTGGTGTTCTTTGTATGTCTGGATATGGGAGTGGGCTTTTTTTTCTTTTTTCTTTTTTTTTGGGGGGGTGTATGAGAGTGTGGGTCAGGAAGATGCTGGAACTACCATTTCGTCAAAATCCACAATTTAAAAAAAAAAATGTTTTGAACGAAATTGAAACCGAGTTTTTTTGCGGAAAAGGGGTCCAAAATTTTGGCTCCTAAGGGTCCAGCGTTCTTAAAATGCTGGACCCCCTTGATGTATGTGGACTTAGCTTGAGACCTGATACGTCCAGGGGCTCCGGCGTTTTAAGAAGGCCGAGCCCTCAGGAGCAGCAAATTTGGAGCTGTTTTCAATTTCGTTCAAAAAATGAAAAAATGTCCATGCTGGCGAAATGACAGCTCTGGGTGATCATTTGGCATTAAATGCCTCCTTCCTGACAGTCAAAGGAGCATACACACATACTCGCACACGTACACCCACACACATGAAAGAAAAGAAAAGCATCCTTGTGTGTCTGCCCCATTTATTTTTTTATTTTATTTTTCATTTTTTTCATTTTTTTGCTAAGCTGTATTCTTCTCTCAATTTCAGGGGACCCCTGCAAGGATGCCTCCCCTTCATTGTTTGCCCCAATTTCTCTCCATTCTGTTTTTTTTTTTTTGCAAGGGAGCGGTGCGCCGATCTATTCGTGGGGAGTCCAAGGACCAACAAGCAGAGGGAACCGGGTCAAGCATGCCATACGCAGATTTACGGAACACCTTTTTTTTCTTTTTTTTAAATGAAATAGCACAGCGCACAGGCTGCCTTCATTGGCGCAGAACAATGTGAAATATCGGGGGCGTTTTCAGCCAGTGCATACGGACCCTGTCAGGTGTTCACTGCTTGCCCAGTGCATACCAATTTATTGATTGCTTTGTGATTGATTAATTGGTTGATTAATTGATTGATTGATTGGTTGATTGCTTTTTTCATTGATTAATTGATTAGATGATTGGTGACGATTGGTGAATGATCTTTTTGATTGTTTGAATTTAGGATTGACATTGACTGCCGCCGCACGTGGGCGTTGACGTCAGCCCACAGAGTTACAATCCACTGGCTGTGGGTGGGTCGGGGAAGATCAGCATCAAGCTGAAGGGCGATATTAGTTGACGTCAGCCCACAGACTTACACACAGGGAAGTCGGACGGTGTATAAAAGGGGTCGTGGGGAATGTGAAGACAGATATCAGTTGACGTTACCCCGCAGAGATTGGTGCAGTTCTCAGGCTGGTGTGTCGGATGCTGGCCGACAATTTGGCAGGTCACCCAGATGGTGCTGCAAGCCCAAAATTTATTGGGTTGTTCGCTGGTCAGTCATTTGCAGATCACCCATGCAGACTGCGCCGCGTGTATCACGAAGATGGACAAGAGCAAAAAAACAAGGAAAACCGAACAAAGCGCCTCGTGTCAAGTTATGTTTCGAGTCCAATCGTGGGGCCGCGTTTTGATCCCCAGCCTCTCTCTCTCTCTCTCTCTCTCTCTCTCTCTCTCTCTCTCTCTCTCTCTCTCTCTGCGTTATATTTCCAGTCCAATAGTGGGGCCACGATTCGATCCCCAGCCTCTCTCTCTCTCTCCCTCTCTCTCTCTCTCTCACACACACACACACACGCACACACACACACAGACACACACGCACACACGCACACACACACACGCACACGCACACACACACACACACAAAAAAAAAAAAAAAAGATGAAGACAATGACCAAGGAGACGAACAGGAAGAAAAAAGGAAAAACGAAGGAACAGAAAAACGAGTGTCGCGCAGTAGCGCGCTACTTGGCTCTGTGCTCGAGCTATCTTTCCAGTCCAATACAGACATGGCGGGGCCACGTTTTGATCCTCTCTCTCTCTCTCTCTCTCTCTCTCTCTCTCTCTCTCTCTCTCTCTGTGCCCCCCTCGTGCATTCAAGGTATCTTTCCAGTTCATAACAGATAGGGCGGGGACACGCGTGTGCAGAAATAGCCCGCGTGTGTGCAGACAATAAACAGCATGACAAGTGTGCGCAAACGATCAGGAGTAGGACACGTGTATTGCCATTTCAATTTTTTTTTTTAATGGCGGACGCCTTCCAAAAATTCTCAGCGTCAAAAAAAATATATATATATATATCAGCGTCCTTTCGGCTCCGGAGGGGGTTTGGAATATAATTTCCGGCCAGCAGAGTGTGTGTGTGTGTGTGTGTGTGTGTGTGTATGCCTCTGTCTGTGTACGTTTGGGTGAGCGGCTGAGTGGGTGGGCGCGTGTGTGAGCACGTTTGGAGGTTTACGATTTGCCAGACGAGGAGAGGGGCTTCGGGCGAAATTCCTGAGGAAAGTGCGAGGGTGAAGTTCGGGAGAAAGTTCGCGAGAAAGTTCGGTAGAAAGTTCGGGAGAAAGTTCGGTGGTTGACGTGGAAGCTGATGTGGGTGCTGATATTATGGCTCGAACCGCTGACGTGGCACTTTCTGGCTTTCCAGATCCGGTGCGGCTGGTTGGAGAGACTGTCCGATCAGGGTTCTTTGGTTTGGGGGGGGGCGGGGTCCAATCAGAGTTGCGTACATCCGAGGTGTGTTACACAGAAATGTGCAAAATTTTGAAAAGGATGAGAATGATGTCCACAAGTGGATGAATCTAGTCCTACACGATTAGGGTCTCGCAGAGGAGGAGGAGGAGTCACAATTCCGGTTTTACATCCACTTCAAGCATCCCTCGAATATAACATATCCCCACCCGACCCTAAAGGCGGGTTGAATACATTCAGGATTTTCCTCCGTTTGTCACAAAACTCGCGAAACCAGGACTGAAATGCAAAGGACATCAGAGAAAATATCACTAAATTCTGTCAAGAATGGTTGGGAGGGGAAAGAGGCGAATGGATTGCACAGGAGAGAAAATATCACTAAATTCTGTCAAGAATGGTTGGGAGGGGAAAGAGGCGAATGGATTGCACAGGTGAGATGGGATTGCACAGGTGAGATGGTCAGGGGATGCAGGTGAGTTTCAGGGGGAGGACGAGAGGGTAAGAAGGGATTATTGCCTGAAATTTAAGGATTGGACTGATATTGACCCGAGCTTCCCAATGAGGCCAGCCCCCAACTTCCCGGACCCCTTCCCTCCACATCCTTTATCCCTAGTAGAAATAACTGGGTCTTGAGTCGGGATTTTGGATGGGGTTTGCAGGATGGCACAGAAAGCACTCTTGACAATCAGAGCAGCAGTGTGGGTGGAAGGCTCAGCCTTAGCCCCTGCTACAGCCCCGTTTATAGGACAGATCAGGATGGGACGCTGGACCCGATTTCCAGCATCGGTACTCACAAAAACGTTTGGCTGTATGCTTGTTGTCTGGTTGCTGCCTGTTTTACTTAGTTCTTTTACTCAGTTGGTGTTACTTGCTTTTCAGATCTCTCAGATCTCTCAGACCTCTCAGACTTTTTAGATTTTCACATAGTTTTGTCATCTTAGACATTCTCCAAGGACAGTGGGATAGGGGGATATGAAAGGCAGGCTGGGGTCCGACAGGGACCACTGGTGCCCCCCAGTGGCCCTGCGGGGTCCCAGCCCAAGACCTTGGCTTTGGACAGAACAGGACAGTTGGCAAAGGGACGCTGGACCCGGTTTCCAGCACACTATCTCATGATTCCTTATGCATGTTATTTCAAATGTACGGGACGCTGGACCCGGTTTCCAGCAGGTGCTGCTCCCCACCAATAGATGGAGGCCGCCTGGAGTGCTAGCGGTGTCTGCTGATACCAGCACCGCTAGCATCACCCGGGTCAGCCTTCCACAAAAAAAAGAAAAAAAAGAAAAAAAAAGAAATGCATTTTCAAACTGAAACAGTGACAGGGACCTAGTTTTCCGGGACCCTTTCTTTTAAAGTGGGGTCTAGGGCTGGCGTGCCACACCCCTGCTGCGCCTGTTCCTTTCCCGGATCCCCTTCTGAAAGGCCCGGTTTTGCCATGAGCCATGCGAGATATGTATCCCCTCTACCTTTGGGCGCCGCGGTCGCTGCAGAGGGGAGGGGAGTGCTGCCGATCGAGGCCGGGATTCCGGGACCGGGAACCCTGCCCCACCCACTGGAAGTGAAAAAAAAAAGAAACTAAAAGGCAGGGAGGTCGAAATTGTGTGTGTGGGGTGGGTGAAAACGTATTAAAAAAAATAAAAATCTTGAATGATATGATTGGTTGACTGATTGATTGTGTATGTTTGATTGAGTCATTGGTTTCTTCATTGATTGATTGGTGGGGGACTACGTCCGGCCTCGTCCGCGGCCGAGGAGGCCGGCCGCTACCCCGTGGCCTAGGCCGCACGGCCGAGAAACTTTGCAGCCATGTCACAAGCAGGTGGAGCTGCACGCCCGTCTCTCTCTCTCTCTCTCTCTCTCTCTCTCTCTCTCTCTCTCTCTCTCTCTCTCTCTCTCTCTCTCTCTTCACCCCGATGCGGGCAGTCCGTCGCCTCACACCTACACAGAGTTGTCACCCCGCTTAGCCCCAACATGCCAGTCGGGTTCGCCCGTGTGCCACAGACTCACAGTCCGTCGTAGCCCCACGTCAACCCCCCATGCCCAGCACCAGCTCATCAGATCGCCCAACTCTCTACTCAGCTTTCAAATCTCGCTCGTTAGCCGATCCTCTCGACTGCGCTAATCGCGCTTACGAAATTTATAGCATGCATGTGTGTGCACGTGATACCCAGGATTGTGTTTGAGCACAGGGAAGAAGGAGGAGGAGAGTGCCTACAACTGCATGGTCGCCGCGGCGTGGGGGATGTAGCCTCACTCCACACATCGATCCGGTCATGCACGCGTTCAGGCCAATAGGTCAGAGGAAGAAGTACGCGCGCACGGAGGCGCCACAAAAGCTATTAAGAACGAGAGGATTGCTGTTGCAATTATGCCAACCAAAACCAGAATTACAGTTACACCTAAGGATTACGTGCG